TTTGTAGCTTTACAAGATCCTTAGCCTTCTCTGACAAAGAGTGCCATTCCCTCTCCAAACTACAAATTCCAGGATTTCACAGCACTGAGCTTTAACAGTTAAACAGCATTTATTCTGCAGTGTAAAAACCCCTCAAACTTGGTTCGCTCATTAGTTTCTAAGTGCTATAAGAGCCCTTGGCATACTGATATTCTAGACCAGCAGTTCTCAAAGCAGAAGCCCTTGGGGCTCCGTGAAGCATACTAAGGGGCTCTGCAGTTCCCTCCTCCCCCTTCCAGCTTTCCCTTCTCTTTCCTGCTTCTCCCCCTTCCCCACCTCTCTTGCCCCCAAAAGCCCTTTTCCCTCAGCCCCTTCAGCCCCAAAATCCCATTTTCCTCACCCTGCTTGCTTCCAAAACCCTATTTTCCTCTCACCACTCAGGGGATACTTTGATTGTGGTTTTCCTGCATGAACGATGGGAGTTGAACTGGATGGCCCCTGAGGTTGCTCCTATTATTATTATTATTATTATTATTATTATTATTATTATTACTACTACTACTACTACTACTACTACTATTATTATTACAAAGGCTGGGTGGCTATCTATTGGGAGTGCTTTGATTGTACTTTTCCTACATGGCAGATATATATATATATCTCACGTATAATATAAAATATAAACATTTCTTGGGGCACCACGAGAAACTTTTACTTCAAAAAGGGCTCAGTGGCTGAAAAGGTTTGAGAACTCCTGTTCTAGACTATTATAAACATTATATTTGAATTCATATTTTTCCAAGTCACAGTTCAACACATTAACAACGACACTGGATCCCATGAATTCCTCAAGACCACATTACTTCATACTGGTTGTTCAAAAAAAAAGATGTTACAAAACTATCACTTTAAAAAGGAAATTGCTTTGAGATTCGTAATTTTTCCATTTTATGTACCTTATCTAGTTTGGATCACAAACACACTGATCAGAAACATGATCTTAGGTGAACTCAGAGTGAAACAGACACATCTGGACTAGTCAGGTTGATAACCATAATAAATGCTGCTTCCTATATACCTGCATTTAAAACAAAACCCATTTTGTACAAAGCAAACCTAAGATGATAAGTGAAGGAAAGAGAGGTACTAAAGAGGAAAGAAGGTGAGGGAAGAGCAGAAAGGAGTTCTATGGGGGGAAAGGGGATACAGAGGTGTGATTAGTCTAAATTTTGGGGGAAAGAATAATATAAGTACATCCTTATTCAGATCTGAAGTTCAGTATCTGGTAATACAATATACTGGCAAACAACAACTGTTTTCTCATTGCAACACCACCAAATAAAATCACAAATGCCTTAAAGGTAACCTAACTCAGATTAAAAGGGGTGTAGAAGGAATTATCTTTACAGCTATCAACAAAGCAGAGCATTGGCAGTAATTCAATCTCTTATCAGAACTGCAGGTTCTTTTAGGGAAAATGAGCCCATGTTTTCTAACAGCAAAATGTGTAGATTTCTGACAGCTGTCTTGTGTCAAGTTTTAGAGTCAGAAGGGGCTATTGGCACAGTGAATTGTGAACACAATACTAAATGGCATTTAGCAAGATCTTGAAATAAGTATTCTATTGTGCATGTAATTACTTCATAACTACTGGTTTGTTTTCTGCTTCAATAAGTTGCCAAAAAGGGCGGAGGGGGTGAGAGAAAAAGAAAACATTACACCAGTCAGTATCCTGCATATCACAGGGATAATGTAATACAGAATAGTCTCACAGTGCAAAAACTGTTTGTCTTTTTCTCATGAAATTTTATTCGGTCATTGGGATTTGTCACTGCTCACCTTGCTAATCAGGGCTAGTTACTGAGTTACTGGGAAATAAAAAAAAAGTTTCATTGATCAGAAATCTGCTTCAGTAAATCTATAATCATACCTCCTTGACTAAAAGCAGAGTGATAAATAATATCTCCAATAGCTCTAAGCAAAATGTTCCAATATGAAAACTTTTATATGGCATTTTTTTACTTTTTTGATGTGAAGTAGTTATGCAGCTGAACAACATCTGGAGAGTCAAACCTGCTTTTATCTCCAATTCAGAACAATTTTGCATATATAAAAAGGAAAGACAGATATGCTGCTGATGTGTGAAACCCCAAATCCACAATATAGCAACACATTTATTGAGACAACAATGGCCCAAGAGCCACTGTGATGTAGCAGTTTGCATTTTAAACTTGGGGTGCATCTAAATTGCAAAATGGCAGTGTCACTGAAGATAAACAGTGTCCAACTGCATTAATTTTACAATTTAGGTGTACTCTAGAACTCAGAGAACAGGTCTTGAACCTACTGGGTGACCTTGGGTACATCACATTCTCTCAGGCTCAGAGAGAGGCAATGACATACTTCCTACAAATAAATAATGCCAAGAAGATCCTACGATAGCATTGCCATGTCATAATCAACCTGAATACATATAACACTAAATCCTATCCTATCCAATTTTTTGGCAATCCACTCCTTTGAGGTTCACACAAATATACAATTTGCCAAAATATATGATCCTCTGCTTTTCTTTTCCATTTCTGGCTGACTTGCTTAACCACTGCTTTGCCCAACTGAGTATGAGGTCTGCCAAAGGGTTGCTTGTGGTCTCTCGGTATCCAGTTCATTAGTCAATATATCCATCGGTTGTATTTTGTTTGTGCTTCAAAAGTGGCTTTAAAGGCCTCTTCTTTCTTGCTTTAGAAAATCAGTTTCCTTTTAAAATTGATACAAAATTAAGAATGCAGTAAAGGCGTAGAGCCATTGGACGATTCAATTCCTCATTTCTTCAAGAATAGACTCACCTGGGTCCAGAGAAGTTTTATATGTGAATGCCAAAAGCAATTCCTTCAAGCGTTTGAAAGAGTTGAAAGATATAACCCAAACAGAGAGATATTTGTCAAATACTAAGCTGCTTTGTTGGATGGCCTCATCATGACAGTTCCTTGCAATTCATGTGACGTGTAATAAGAATAAAGAATTTAGCAATTATGCTTGTAAATAGCTGTACTGAACATAGACCACATATGTACAGAATCTGAGCTGGAGAAAAAATAAGTCAAATTGATGCATAATACAACTGAGCATCAACACCAGGACACAATTCCAAAAGTTTACTTTATGAACTTTGGTAACAATTCAAAACTCTAATCTTATATAATATTGTTTATAAGTTAAAAACACACAATTGTATGTTGTAATATGAAGGGGGGATTTGCAAGTCTTCCTGTTGCAATTATATACTATGTCTTGAAATAGCAATGTATGTAACAAGGAAGAACATGGCTAATAGCTGACAGATATAAGAATATTTTATATATATATCACGCCATTTTCCCCATTGCAAGCAATGTCAGGACATTTATTTAGACTTAATTCCATGGCTGACCTAATCTTTCTTTAAGTTGAGGTTGTGAAGAGAATAGGTTTTTGAATATTGCCTATCCAGAACATCTCCAACTCTGTATTGTTGAAGGCTTTCATGGCCGGAATCACTGGGTTGTTGTAGGTTTTTTCGGGCTATATGACCCGAACATGGCCATATAGCCTAAAAAAACCTACAACAACCCAGTGATTCCGGCCATGAAAGCCTTCGACAATACATTGAGCATCTCTACAGGGGAAACCTGTTCCAAGACACACAAAAATTGCCTCTAGAACATGGCCATAAAGCCCAAAAAAACTACAACAACCCATCTCCAACTCTGCCAGTGCCACACACCAAATCTATCTAGTCCATTTCTCCCAAGGCTAGAGAGATGATGGGTATGAAAGGGACAGCAAAGAGGAGGTGAATGATATGAGATCAGAACCCTATTTCTGTCATCAGCAAAAGATTTCCACTACACCCTATGTCATCCTAGGGACCACAAGATTATTCATTATTTATTTATTTATTTATTTAAAACGTTTATATCCCGATTTTCTCACCTCCGTAAAGGGACTTAGAGCCTTAGGTTCCCATATGATACATTTCAGAATGTGCATCCACAGGATTACATGTATACTCAGATGCCCACAGGAATCTCCATATTCCTGGGATCACTGCAGTGTAGAATAAGATATGTTTTTCCTTCATGTGAACTTGCAGGATATCTCTCTTCAGTTCTGAAGAGTCAATTTGACTCTTTATTAGGATTAACATCATTGCATGTATTAACACTGTCATCCAACACCAATACACTCTTAAAGAAAAGCTTCCACAATAGCTGCTCCTCGGTTTTCCGGTAGAATACATAGTGAAATACAGAGCATGGTACACCTGAGTGCTGCTGAATGCCTTCTTACGGAAATACACTTTTACTCTGTTTGCAAGTCACCCTGGCAGTCCCACAAGACTCAGTGCTGCCAAGCAGGAAGATTCTCATATGCCAAGGGGTGTCCATGCAGAGGCAAAACTGGGCTGATCAACAATTACTTTCCTCAACTTCCATGCATAGCACTTTGTTTCTTGAAGCATCAGATTACTTTTAAAGCTTCTAAGACAAAATATACCACTTTTTCTAAATCCAGAATTAGGGATATATAGCTCCAAAAAGTACTCTTAAACAAGCATTGTAATTATAAACTTTGCCCAGATATTTAATTTACTTTTATATTATTCTTGGTGCATTTCTCCAAGTTGATTGCCTTTCTCAGCTTCTCAACTGTCAACAACATATTTCAACAGATTCCAGAAAACAGCCAATGTTATGCCACAAGGCTGGGAAAAAAAGCAAAGAACCAGCAAAGGAGGTTGCCCACAAGAAGGTGATATGCAAGCCAATTTACCCTTTACACAAGCATTCTAATGATACAGATGGCCAAAGGGCCAACCTTTTTCAAAATATGAGCATCCTGGCACAAAACGCTGCCCCTGAAATCTGGAATAAAGATACACTACGAGAAAGAGAACTGTCATTTGGAAATTAATATCATTTCCCAAATTTCCCAGTTTTAGGGATGGGAGAGAACGTTGTTTAAGAAACGCACCAGATTACCTAGATAAATCCACCTTCCCTGGAGGATGAGTTTCATAAAAATCCATGAGTTTTTTCTCCAGTTGGGCATTAAAAGAGGGTCCACGGGATGAATCTGCACATCACAGTCTAATTACACATCAGTCTGAAGCACTCACAGAAAAAAACCCTATTAAAAATCAGAGTAGGAGGATTCAAGCCATTAAAAGAGAGACAGAGGCGTGACTCAAGTAATGACACCCCAGTGAAGGCAACTCTTTCATAGCCCAGCCCTTGTCCTCTCCTTCAAAGGAGGTGGAGAAGTACATACAGCACCTCATTAGGTTCCTTCTTTAGAGGAAGTCAGAGAAAGAAGAGCCCTGGGCAAGGCAAGAGGGTCTGGATTTTAGGGCGCCTCTGATACCCAGCCCTTTTGAAAGTGGGAGACGGGACTTCAAGCTCCTCCTGACAGGCCAGGGATTCTTTGGAACACTCAGCATTTAAAGAGACAGCAGAGGGGAAGAAGAGAGGGGGTGATCCAAGTAAGAGGTGCCAAGTTTCAAAGCCAAAGGCTTCTCCCTGGGGTTTCAAGTGGAAACAGAGCAATCCCCAACAGAAGTGTGAAACTCTAAGCGTGTGGGGATGAGTCTTTTTTTTAGGCAAGCCATACTACAGAATGTAAATATCAATGTGAGAAATAAAAAGGAGAAACGAAGGAGGGAAAAAATAATGACAAGAAAACAAACTTTAAAAAAATATTTTTGCTTGAGTTTTTTGGATGCAAATACATTTGTTTGGATGCAGTGCCTAGTGATACTAAAGCCTCAAGTATAAAGTATAAATATGAGTGTGCATGAATTTACTTGCTGGAATCAAAGAGTACAGCACTTTCTGTGGGTTCTCCCACAAATACCCTGACACAAATACCCTAACACAAACATTATGGTCACTCCACAAACACATTGATATTTGACAAAGGACAGCATTCTACAACCCAACCACAAGAAATTTGTATAGGATTGAGCCAAAAGTGAAGTCATTTCAGCCCCAGAGCTGAAATTCTGATTTAAATGGGTATGGTTAATAATCTTCTCCATTGAAATCAATACAGCATTTCACTGCCAGATCATTCCCAAAAGTTATCACCTCAGTTCCAATTCCAGTCCTTTTACCATGTTACTTGAAAGTTGTTCTGTGCCTTTCAATCACTTTTGACATGGTAACCCTTGTGGTATTTTCTTGGCAAGTTCTGTTGGGGGGAGAGCTTTGCCTCCTGCCCTGAGGCTGAGACAGTGTGACTCAACCAAGGTCCACCCAGTGGCTTTCCATGTCCAAGTAGGGATTCAAACCCTGGCTTCCAGAGTCCCAGGGTGTATCCGCACTGTAGAATGAATGCAACTTGACACTGTTTTATCTGTCAAGTTACTTTTACCTGCCAAGTTACTTGTATGGAATCCAAGAAGCTGTAGTTTGGTGAGACACCCTCACTCTTGGCAGAGGAGGCAAAAAATTGTGTCAAACTAAAACTCACATGATTCCACAACATTGAGCCATGGCAGGCAAAAATACTGTCACAGTGCATTCATTCTACAGTGTGGATATACCCTCTATGGATACATCCTCTCTCCCCTTGTTGTCCAAAGAAAAAAGGAAAATCGTGATGTATTTATTTTTATTGTAAAGTCTCCCACGAATATAATACATTGAGGGGTCTCTGTGGTGCATCTCTTTAAGGAAGAACACAGTGCTCTCTCAGGCTGAATCTACACTGCCTTATATCCCAGGATCTGATCCCAGATCTGGCAATGTAAACTCATATAATACAGTTCAAAGCAGATAATAAGATATAAGGCAGTGTAGACCCAGCCTCCGCTTTCCTGGATCGGATGATGCCCTTGGGGGTCTCCTTCGCCAGAAACCGGGCTCTTTTTTTGCCCTTTACCCACAGGTTATTTGACCTCCTTTTCCTCCACCTGCTCCTTGGGAGGATATAGAGCGATGTAGATCCAGCCTCCACTTTCCCCTGTCTCTGTTGTCTCTGGACGATGACCTCATGGTCTCCTTCACCAGAAACTGGGCTCTTTTTGGCCCTTTACCCAAAGCCCTTTTGGGTGCGGAGACTGGCTTGACTTCCTCCTCCTCCTTCCCGGGTGGCACCTGTTCCCAAGTTTAGAAAGGATGACTCCCAAGGAGGAGAGTCAAATCAGGGGCACTGGAGAATGAATGTGGTTTGAGCCTCTTGGGCTGGACCTACACTGCTCTATATCCCAGGATTTGAGCCTAGATTATCTGGCAGTGGAGACTCATACAATCTAGTTCAAAACAGAGAATCTGGGGTCAGATCCTGGGATATAGGGCAGTGTAGGTCCATCACACTGCTCCCTCACAGAGTGCTGTGGTGAATCCCAGATTATCTCGCAGTGGAGACTCAAAGCAGCGAATCTGGGGTCAGATCCTGGGATATAGGGCAGTGTATATCCCTCCCACTGCTCCCTCAGAGTGCTGGGGTTTTACATGCTTTTGACTTGAATGGTTTTTAATATTAATGATGTTTAATGCTGTTTTAATGCTTGTATATTGTATATTTTAAGTTGTATTGTAATACTTTTAATTGTGAGCCGCTTTGGCCCCTTCCACACAGCTGGGAAACAATCCACATTGAACTAGGTTATATGACAGTGTGGACTCAGATAATCCGGTTCAAAGCAGATATTGTGAGTTATCTGCTTTGATAATCTGGATTATGTGGTTGTGTGGAAGGGCCCTTTGAGTCTCCATGTGCAGAGAGAAGGCGGGATATAAATAAACATCATAAATAATAATAATAATAATAATAATAATAATAATTTTGGAGCACAATAATCCTGACCTCACAATCGTGTTAAAAAACAAAGTATGGATTGTCGATGTTGCAATCCCAGGTGACAGCAGGATTGAAGAGAAACAACTGGAAAAGCTGACACGATATGAGGATTTAAAGATCGAACTGCAAAGACTCTGGCACAAGCCAGTCAAGGTGGTCTTAGTGGTGATCGGCACACTGGGTGCACTGCCTAAAGACCTTGGCCTGCACTCAACACAAAGTTACTATCTGCCAGCTGCAAAAGGCCACCTTACTGGGATCTGCACACATTATTCACCGATACATCACACAGTCCTAGACACTTGGGACACTTCCGACATGTGATCCAATACAACAGCCAGCAAAGTGATCTTGTCTGCTGTAGACTCATCTTGTTGTGTTTCTAATAATAACAACAACAACAACAACAACAACAATAGATCCCGCCTTTAACTGCCCTGGCTCGGTGTTATGGACTCTTGGGAGTTGTAGTTTGCCAAGGTCTTTTGCCTGCTTTGCCTCAGAGGCAAAAAGAGAACACTCCCAGCACACAGCAGTTCAGGTATTGTCAAACTGTGTGAGGAGAAAACAAAAACCATCTACAGGAGGGCACCATCCAATCCCTCCCGACAGATGGCCATCCAGAGATGGAAAGATGTACGCTTCATGGGGAGCTTGACTGAATCAGGAGGCGGAGTGAAGGGGCTCAGAGTGGGGCCAAGAAGGCATCCCTCCCTCGCTCCCTCCTTGCTGGGCACAGGCTGACCCACAGCCCACTCTCCCCTCGCCCCTCCCGCCCCTCTTCCCTCTTCCTTCCCTGACGCTCTCACTTACTTGTCGTACTCTTGTGTCATGTCTGGCAGTCAGGGGGTGGCAGAACTGGCCGGGCTGGTTGGGACGGGAACGGAGAAGGACGAGAAGGAAGAACTGGGGAAGCCAGCCAGTGGAGCCGGGGCACGCGCACAGGCACACACCCGCACAGGCACACACAGGCGCGCGCGCGCACACGCCTCCCCGCACGCGCAACCGCAACCGCCGCGCACAACCAAAACGGGTCGGGCAGGCTCGTTCTCTTTCTCACCCGCCTCAAGAGAGAAGGCTCCCGCGGGAGTCGCAGGTGGACCGGGCGGAGGCTTCTCCCATTGGCTACTGCCATTACGGGTGGGCGGGAAGATCTGGCGGAGCCACGGATTGGAGGAGCGCCTGAGGGGGCGGGGCCAGGAGGGGTCTCAGGAGTTTCAAGCCGAGAGAAAGAGAAAGGGAAGGGGGGAAAAAACCGCCGGCGCTCGCGCTCCCTCACTCCAAGTGCCTCAGGCGCTTGGTCCTGAGAGGCAGCCAATGGGGGTGAGCGCGAGAGGCCTCAGGGCCCCGCCCCCTGGAGAAAGGCACCCTGCCTCACAGGACTGCCAGGCATAGGCACAGTAGACATCAGGAAGCACACTGCCATGACACACGCATATATATGCACTCACATCATGAAATATACTGCCTACACACACACACACACATATACATATTGCCATGAAAGATATATACTGTCATGAAATATATATAGATACACACACACGTATACTGCCATGAAAGATATATATATATATATATACACACACACACATATACACACACTATGAAATATATATAGATTTACACACACACGCATACTGCCATGAAAGATATATATATATATATATATATACACACACACACACACCATAAAATATAGTGCCAAAAATATATATAGATACATACACGCCTACATACTGCCATATATATATATATATATATATATATATATATATATATGGACACGCATATATTCATATATAGACACACACCATGAAATATACTGCCATGAAATATAGATATAGATATACATACTGCCATGAAAGATATATATATATATATATATATATATACACACACACACACCATGAAATATAGTGCATGCACAAAACCACATATATACACAAACACACATACACAAATATATAAAAAGGTAAAGGTAGTCCCCTGACATTAAGTCCAGTCATGTCTGACTCTGGGGTGTGGTGCTCATCTCCATTTCTAAGCCGAAGAGCCAGCGTTGTCCGTAGACACCTCCAAGGTCATGTGGCCGGCATGACTGCATGGAGCGCCGTTAACTTCCCACCTGAGTGGTACCTATTGATCTACTCACATTTGCATGTTTTCGAACTGCTAGGTTGGCAGAAGCTATGGCTGACAGCGGAAGCTCACGCCGCTCCCCGGAATCGAACCTGTGACCTTTCGATCAACAAGCTCAGCAGCTCAGTGCTTTAACCCACTGCACCACCGGGGGCTCCCACATAAATATATAGATACCATGAAATAAATATAGATACACACATACATACTGCCATGAAAGATATACATACTGCCATGAAAGATTCTGGGAGAGTGTATTCTGAAATAGGGAGAAGGTGGTTTGCAAGGATTCTTGCAAAGATTTTCC